ACTGCATTGCGCCACTGATCGAGTCGCCCGACTCGTCCCGCGCCGCGCTCTGTGATCTTGCGTCCAAAGATCACGTCGCCTCCACTTTGACGCTGCTCGAGTTTGCGTTGAGCGAAGGCTGCGACATGGGCCTCGTGTGGGCGACCATCAATACGTACCGCGCTCGGCACCTCCTCGTGTCTGCGATTGCCGACATCTTTCACGACGACGATGTCGGCACGCGAGAAGCCTGTGTCGTCTTGACTGCGTTTGTCTCGCGACCGCCGCTCAAGACCGCCGAAGTCAACGTGCTCTGCGAGGTCGCGCCGCGCATCTGCGAGGTCGCTGGCGCGATGCGGTCGGTCGCGCTGCCGCTGCTCGTGGCGCTCGTCGCAATTCCGCGCGTCGCGCTCGCCCTCATCGACGGCGGCGCGATCGAGTACATGGTGGCCTTTCTGCAAACGAGCGCGGGGACCGACAGCGATCTCTGTCAGCGCGTGCTCGTCCATCTGTCGCAGATCACGCTCGGTACGGAGCGGCTCAGTCTCTGCAACGGCGTGTCGACCTTGCTGAGCTTTGTGCAGTCGCTCGCCTCCACCGACGCCCACGCGCCGAACGTTCTTGCGATTCTTCAAGTGCTCCACCTCGTCGCGTCCAAAGACAAGGCGGCGCGGCTCGTGCTGGCAGAAGCCGTCGACCTCTATGCGCTCCTTTTACAGCACTCGATGCAGCCGGACGCAAGTGACGCCTACTCGTGCCTCGACTCGGTCGCGCGGCCAGCGTCGACGTCCAAGTACACGGCCAACGCGCCGCTCGCGCACCTCGTCGTCGATCTTCTCGTGCGCGTCTGTGCGGTCGCCGACGCCCGGTCGCACATCGTGGGTCGCAGTGATATCTACGCCGAGCTCTACATGTGGCTGCAGTACATCACGGAGCGTAGCGCAGTCGAGCACAATTCGATTGCGATCGGGTCGTTGACGCTGCTCCGGTACCGGTACATGGCCCGCCTCGCGCCCGCCGAGATGCACGATGCGCTCTGGGATCTTTTGGCGGCGCTGGCCGCACCCGCCTTTCTTGCGGTGCACGAAGAGGTGGCGCGGACCATCGCGGTGCTCTGCACCTGCGTAAGTGACCCGTCGCGCTGCAAGGACGTCTTGTACCGCGTCGAGGTCCACGTCTACGAAGCGCTGTCCGAGACCTGCGCGCTGCGCCACGCGTGGCTGGACGTGGCGCTGAGTCTCGGCCACAACCGTGTCCGGGACGTGTTTCCGATGCCGCTGCTCCAGTGGCTCGTCGTTGCATCGCTGGACGATATGGTCGTGCGCCCCCTCGCCGTGCACGTCCTTGACGTCCTCTGCTACGACGCTGCGTTCCACGTCGCGATCCTCAACAATCAAAACGTCTTGCAGTGGTTGGCGGCGCATGCAGCGACGGATACGACGGCACGGCGCATCTCGGTGTCGACGTGCTCGACGATCCGGCGGCGCCGACGACGGACGAGGACGACGCCTTGGACGCCGCCAGCGTGTCGTGTCGGAAGACGCGATCGACGAAGGCGCTGCCGATGGCGCGTTTGGGTACGGACCCGTACGGACGGACGCGGTCTTGGCGACGCAGTTGTCGCGGGACCTCGAGTCGCGCTACTCTGGCTACTCGGACAACTTTAGCTCGAGCTACGGCGACAACTATGGCTCGGCCTCGAGCTTCGCGCCAGGTTCGTACAGCAGCTACGGCGAGTACGCGCCGAGCTCGGGTAGCACCAACTACTACAACGAGGCCGTGATCGACGACGAGGACGTCGTTTGCCCACATTGCCTCGGCAACGTCCACGTGCCGCCGGGCTGCAGTGCGTACTTGCATACGATTCCGTGTCCACTGTGCCAGCGCCCGCTCGGCGGCTCGTCGCCGGCCCCCGCGCCGCCCGGCACAACCACGATCACCTGCAAGGGCTGTCGCCGTGGTCTCCACTTGCCCGAAGGATTGGACCTCGCCGACGTCGTCTGCCCCGAGTGCAACTCTGTCAACAAGTTGTTGCTCTTAAATGAGTCGCTGCTCATACGTGTGGTCGTAGGATCGAACCGACGCCCAAGCCGACGCTTGTCAAGTGCGGGCACTGCCACAAGATGCTCTCGGCACCGCCAGGGCAGCCCACGATCCAGTGCGGCCACTGCAAGGGCGTCTCGCGCGTGATGGGCTCGGATGGTATGCATGCATCGTGCATCGTTGGCTCGGACTAGAATGTCTGCGCGTAGATGTCGTCAAGGTAACGTGCGCCAAGTGCAAGACACTCTTGGCTGTGCCGAGCGGCTCGACAGTATACAAGGTTCGCACACAGCCACGAGGATGGGAAAGGATTCCACTCTGTATGTTAGTGCCTCAAATGCGGCCACGTGTCCAAGTGAGACCCTCGCCTCTCTGTCGTGTGTCGTTCTTAGGCGGACGCGTCCATTAAACTCAAAAGATCGTCGTCGTCGCCGCCCTTTTTACCTACGTCCCGTGTGGCCTCATCTTTCAATGTTTCAAGATACGCACCCTCCGCGCGGACCTTGACGTCGACATCAAAGTCGTCAAAGAGATGCTTGGTCGCGTCCTTGTGGTCGCTCAGCGCGTCGATCGTGATCATGGTCACGTGCGCCTCCGTGCCCTTGCCGTCGCTACACGCGCATGCGTCATCCTCCTCGTCTGTCGCGATTCAGGACGTACTTGGCGTCGTCGTCGTCGCCCGTGTCGCCGGCAAACAGCGCAATCTTGAAGGGCTTGGCGTCCGTCGTCTCCTTGGCCGAGTTGTTCCCGAGGAGGTCGGCGAGCAGGTTGAGCCCGTCCTGCGCCGTCGCCTTGTACTGTTTGGCGGGTGCGTCCACTTTGTCTGCGCCGCGCGTGCGCTTGGCATCGGCGGTCAATTCGGCGCCCGACTTGAGGTCCGGCTTGGCCGTTGGCGCATACCTACCCCTTCCTACTAAGTCGCCTATCGTTGCTCGTGTAGGCACGCACAGGTTTTCACCGAACGGGCACAGCGCCGGGTCCCGCGTCAAGATCGGACCGTCGTCGACGGCGATGGCGCCGACGGCGTTGGCCAGATCCAACATGTCCTTGTCGACCACCTTGCCGCGGTCGTCAAAGTACCTAATACCAATATTGTCATCACAGACAACTTGTCCACAATCCAACACCTACCGGACGACGCCGGGGATGTCGCCGCCGGTGGCGATCGGGCCGTTGGCGCGCAGCACAAAGGCACCATCGGGGTTTTGGATGCCCGACTGGAGGAAGAGGGAGACTTTGATGCGCACGTCTTGGAAGAAGCGCGCGAGATGCTGCTTGAGCAGTAGAAAGTCGGCGTGCGAGAGAGCTCCATAGACCTACGCTGGTTAACACACGAATAACGAGTGCGTCGACCGTACCGACGCCGTGAGCACGACCGCGTCTTCGATGAGCGAGGTCGCTTCGTCGGCCTTGACTATCGCCTTGATGCTCTGGAGGTGGTTCATGGTCACTTGCACGAGCTGGTCGGCCGACGAGCACGCGAGGAGGTTGGACTTGAACCCCATGCGCATGAGCCCATAGAGCTAATCGACATTCGAAGTGGGTGCTAGCGAGACGCTGTACCTTGTCCATGCTCGACTGGTTGAGGCGCATGATGGACGAGTGCGCGAGCCGGTCAAAGATCTGGCGCGTCGAGAGGTTCGAGTACATGTGGTGCGGCCGGAAGAGCTCCGAGATGAACTTGGTGTTGTACATCGTCTTGACGACATCGACGAGCACTACGCCACGATTGTTACGCTTGTCTCAAGCAGCGAGAAGGCAACCTTTGGTGCTCTTGTCTTCGGGGATGTTCTGCGCCTTCAAGCGCTGGTCCAGCACGTAGATCATCTCGCCGCCCATGTTGATGAGCAGCATCGGCATGGCTAGCAGCGCTCCGGACGTCATGGTGCCGAATCCAAAATCCCTCAGCCAACCGCCTCTGAAACCCTCGGCAGCTTCTAGATCGCTCACCCCTAACCCTTTCGTCGTGGTACAAGCATATCCTTATTACGCGTGCTCTATTCGTACGTGATCACTTTTACGTGGTCTGCGTCGTCGGGTGGTCGTGACATCACTCACTGCGTTCGCTTGCCGGCGGCGAGCCATCGTCCTATCTCATTTCTGCGCTCTGCGCGCCCGTGGTCACCAGGAGGATGTGCCGTGGGGTGGTAGAGTCCAATGACGCAGCATATCGGGAACCAATGTCGTCGTGACGGCAGGTGCGTCGACGCTTAGAAGACAAACCGATCGCAGTCCCCGTCGTCCCAGTTGCACGAGGGCGTCATGCACTCGATGTTGCAGTTGGTGTTGCCAATCAAGCTGTCGTAGCAGCCTACGTTGCACTGCGGCTGGCAGATCGCGTCCCGGGCCTCGAAGATCGCGCGCTCCAGCGGTGCTAGCCCGATTGCATCGGGCCGTGCCCAGAGACGGTCGCACAGCGGCGTGTGGCGAATGACGAGCCGGCCTGAGCGGAGCAACGTCACATCCAAATCTATTGGCAGCGACGCGATCGGGTTGCCTTCTAAATGCAGCGTCTGGTACGGCCCGACGCGGTCCATAATCGATGCAGGCAGGTGCGCAATGGAATTGTTGACGAGGTTGAGATAGCCCATGGCCGGGATCGTGGTCGGGAGGTCGACAATGAAATTGTTTTGAAAATTGACATTGGTCATCTGCGGCGCCAGCGGAAGCGGCACGTGATCCAAGCTCGCGTTGCTCACTTCCAGCATGACGAGCGATCGAAACGCAGGAGGCAGCGACGCATTCATGAAGAGCGAGACGTTGCGAAGGAAGACATATTGTACATTGCCCGAAAAACGCTGCAGCACCGTCGGCACCGAGGGCAAGTAGAGATGGCAGAGGAAGATGGCAAACAAACTGGCCGGCAGCGCGTCGGGCGAGATGTCCCAGCGCACCGTGTTGGTCCGCTGCAGCGTGATGCTGTAGAGGTTGATCATGCGCGCCATGGTCGGCGCCGACACCGCGTTTGGCAAGTCGCATTGCTCCACCTCCAAGTCAAAGAGGTCGGGTAGCATCGGCTGGAGGTACGTCTCGAGGTCGGTCGATAGCGGCGCCGTCATGCAGTTGACGCGCAGCATCACACACGTGCATCGCTGGTTTGCGAGCCACGGATACGTCTGCAGCAGACAGCCCGGTGGGCAGTCGCGGGCTTGGGTGGCCCCCGCTGCGATCCCAAGCAGGACAACGCCAGTGGTGACCGAGGCAACCGCGTAGGCGTGTCGCCAGCGCCGTTGTTGCGAGACCACCTTGTCAAGCGCGAGCTTTTGCCGACCGGTGGGCCTAGGTATGTGCATTGAAAAGAGTCGTGTGGCGTTAAGTTCATAGTACGTGAGACGAACGTGGACAGCGTTGGTCATGCTCCGCAATGAGAGGTAGCAGGTGAGGAAGGGCCCGACTTTCGTGACAAAATCCAATGGGCTGCTAACGACGATGAAGCGGCCGAGCAAGATCGTCGCGTTGAGCCACGCGTGGTCGTCGAGGATGCCCGCGTCTTGTGCGAAGTAGTAGGTGGCGATCGCGCGAAAGTTCAAAATCAATGGAATTCCGGACGAGAGCAGGAAATTGAGAATTCCATCGACGAACGCGGCGCCCCATCGGCGCCGAAACGGATTGGAACTCGCGAGCAGCAAGGGCACTGCAATGCAGTTGCACACGAGCACGAGTGCGTACGCCAGCGACGCGGTGGCGTCCGTGAGCAGACAGCTCATGCGGTAGGCTTGATAGAGCTGCGCGGGAATCTGCAAGATCTGCTTTAGCATGAGCTTGGTCTCGTACTGCGGCCCTAAAAGGCCAAAGGTCCCAAAGCGGCCAAAGTGCTTGACATATACGCGGCGCATGCGGGCGACGCAGCCACTGGCTTGGATCGAAGCCGCGTCGCCATGCAATGTCTCAGGCGAGACGGACGCGCCGCAGCGTCCACGGCACGCGCTGAGGATGCCGTAGAGGTACAGGCTGGCGAGGAAAATTGAGACGCCGGCGTTCAAGCGAGGCGCCCAGATGCCGACCACGCGGGCTTGGTCGGCGGGGGCGAGCAAGTAGACAGCTGCAAAGCACAGCAGAAAAAACATGGAACTCAGCAGCAGCAGCACCGCGATGCAGCGGATGACGTGGCGCTCGCAGCGGCCAAAGAGGTACGACGCGACCTCGGGGCCGACGCGGAGCAGTGGCGTCGACATAACGATATGAAAAGGGTGAAACCAAAGACGTCCGATTTAGGTTAAAAACAGCCAACCCCTTCACGTCGCGTGATCGCAAGTAAAAGCAGCCAGTGACGGGTATATATGAACGTGTTTCGCGTTATCTTCGTTGTTCCAAAGAGTTCGCATCCGTAGAGACTAGCATTCTCCTTCTTCTTCATTCGTTCGACAGGCCGTGGCTGCGCAGGCGGCGGCGCGGGGGTGCGTCTTGCTCCTCTGTAGTTGCCCGGGGGCGCTTGTGGCCGCGGGTGAGGCCACGACGACAAGCTCCATAAATTCATTCCAATAGTCGCGGTCGGCGGCAAAGCTACGCAGTTTGTTGAGGTCCTCGAGAGACGCCAGCGACTGAGGCGCCGTCAGCGACTGAAGGTCGCGGTGCAGGACGATCGGCAACGTGATCTTGGTGCGGCCTAAAAAACGGGGCGCCTCGGGCGCAGCAAAGAAGCGGGCGGCGGCAATGTTGGCAGGGACGTCTACACTCATGCGCAGCACGTGGCCCAGCAGGCGCCAGCGTTGGCGGGCGACGATCTCGCTCAGCGGAACGCTGCACTGACGGGTAGTACTTTACAATAGAGATATGCTATATGCGCGAGACGGGGGCGAGTCGGTACTTCATGAGGGATGGGCTATTAAGACGCGGCTGTAGGCATCCAGGCTCGACGCGAAGACTTATTGCAATTATTCGAGTTGCGTGGCTCCGAGGCTCAGCAGAGTGACATGGCATCTGCACTGGGATGTTGTGGGCTCTTGGCGCCACGGGCGCAGCGCGACTCGAGTGAAGATATCGACAACGACCGACGTCGAAACTTCTAGCAAAGGTGGACAAGGGCTTTAGTACACATGCAGGCAAGCAAGGAAATCAGATCTAGTTTCTCTTGTAAGTCCCCCAATCTCGCAACTGCTGGCCTCGTCGCATGTCGTAGCGACTACCTGCTGCAAATGTCTAGACGACCAAGCGTACAGTTCGCATTGGCGTTCATAGCATGGACAACTTGTGCATTTGACTTCGTTAACGTCACCAATACTACGCGACGCCGTGGACTCTTGGACTTGCCGTTGGTCGCCTGCGACGGGCCACCCACCATCTGGTCTCCAATCGATTAGTTCCGGAGAACCGTTCGACTAAGCCGTTTTCGACTAAATGGGTTTTTCCCATGCCGGGTCTCGCAGCGTGCGCGTGCGGACCGCGAGCAGACGAGTACGGTGTTCATGCACCATGGTAGGTACCTCGGCCGCCAGCGTCGGCGGGACGAGGCGGGTCGGAGCGACAGGACACCGGTGCGACTGAAATCGTTACAGGCGCCGGTTTCAAGTGCGCGCACCTGAGCATCAACGATGGGTCTCTGCCATCTCGAAGGAGTGTCACCGCTGAAATCCTTCTCGTCTTCGATGGTGCATGCTCGCAGTCGAGCATTGTAGCTGGAGGCATGTCGCCGCACTGTCAAAGCGCAGGAAACACCAATACGATGCTGCCAGCAAGGCGCCGAACTTGAGATTCGGAACCTCAAAACATTTCTCCCAAGCCGTTTCATGGGACATTGGGACAAACCTGTTAGTCGAGCAATGAAGGGTTTAGTCGTCGTCTCGGCAGCCAATCAGAAACGTCACAGCAAGGCGTGGCGTGAGTGTAAACCTGTGTCAATTGATATTCTGTCGCATCCGATATCCTTCAAATATGTGAAGTTAGAGGTTTCTTGCCTGCAGGCCCGGACATATCAACTTTGAGAGGCGATAGAAGCCCTTTGAACTTACAGCGCGGACCGGTGGCGACGACAACCGGGACGCGGCCACGGACTCGACGATCGACGGACGACGACAAGATGGAAGGGAAGCAATTGCAGAGCGCAATACTCAAGTACCGCAACCTCAATGACAGGAAGTCGGCGCCGGCAGCCGCGGACGGCGGGCAGGCGGCAGCCGCATCGGGTACGTCGTGGCCGGCGAGGCGAGAGACCGCTCATGGCCGGCCGTAGCGGCCAAGAAGCGCCGACCGTTCACGTACACAGACCATTCGGACACGATCGCGCAGCTGCGTACGGCCGATCTCTCTGTGCAAAGATGCTGGTCTGAGCCTCTCCCTGTAGTGTCGGGCAGCACGGCCGCGAGCGCGAGCAGCAACAACAAACTCAACAGCGTGTACCCGACCTCGACGCTCTTGCGGTCGACGGCCGCGGCCGCGAGCTACAATGCGTCCACGATGGCGTCGACCGACGGCTTCCAGTACGAAGAGGCGTTCCAGCGTGGCATGAAGCTCGTCGAGAAGAACGACTACAAGCGGGCGCTCTCCGAGTTCACCGAGGCCATCAACGTCGCGCCGACCAAGCTCAAGGCGTACGTGCAGCGCGCCATGTGCTACATGAAGGCGCAGCGCTACGAGCCCGCGATCGACGACTACTCGACGCTCATTGCGCACACGCCGGGCGACAGCGACATGTTCTCGAAGCGCGCGTTTGCATACGAGTGCCACAACAAGATCCCGTCTGCGATCGAAGACTACACCAAGGCGATCGAGATCTCGGGCGTGCCGGCCAAGATCAAGGACGCGCGGCTCGCGCGCGGAAAGGCGTATGCGAAGCTCGGCCACCTCACGCACGCGCTCGAGGACTTTGGCAGCGTCATCGAGATGGACCCGCGCAGCGACGACGGGTACCGCCAGCGCGGCCTCGTGTACACGCGTCTCTGCAAGTTTGACTTGGCCTTGGCCGACTATGACCGCGTCGTCGAGCTCGAGGCGCGCCAGCTCACGCACGTCAAGCTCGAGTCGCTGCTCCAGCGCGCCGAGACGCTCATGAAGCTTGTCGAGACCGAAGAGAATGGTTTTTTGCTTCACCAGATGGAAGACTCGGCGCTCCTCTCGGCCGAGAACGGCCACGACCGCGCCGTGCGGCACACGCCGCGCACCATATGCCTCGCGATGGACGAGACATACCTGACGCCGTGCGAGTCGGACGACGCCCGGTCCTTCGCGCTCAAGGCCATTGACGACTTTACGGCGGCCCTCGACCAAGAGCCCGAGAGCTTGGACGTGCTGGCGGCGCGCGGCGAGGCCTACATCCGCGCCGGCGCGCTCACCAAGGCGCTCGCGGACTTTGACGCAGCGCTCTTGATCGATGCGAAGGACCACCGCCTCTTGCTGTCCCGCGCCGTGGTCTTGCAGCTCCAAGACGATGCGGCCCGACCAGGGCATGTCTCGGCGCGGGCCCTCGCACTGCTGGCGCAGGTCACGTCGTCGGCGCCGCCTCTGATTGCGTCCCAGGGCTTCTTCCGCCGCGCGCGACTGTACCTCGAGCACGGGCAGCCCCAGGCCGCGGTCGACGACCTCGGCAAGATTGTCGATTTGTTTCCAAAAGTACTCAATGAGGAGCGCGACTCGGGGGCGGACTACCTTCCGGACGAGCAAGTCAAGCCCCACTGCCTCGTCGGTGCGACAAGTAAAGAGAGCAAGTCGCCGGTGCGCATTGCGCTGCAAGCACTCTTGAGCCGCGCCCGCGTGCACATGCAGCTGCAGTCGTACGCCCTCGCAGCCAAAGACTACCAAGCGATCCTCGCCGTGTCGCCGGGGCACTTGGACGCGCAGGTGGAGGAGCAGCAAGCGCGCGACCTCGATGAGAAACACAAGGTCGAAGAGTCGAACCGCGCGGTCAAGTGGCTCTTGGAGCACGGCGACGCAACCGAAGTGACCAAGAAGGGCGCCAGGAAGAAGAAGAAGAAGACTGCGAAAGCATCAACGACCACCGAGTCGCCGAGCAAGGCTCTCAAGCCGGCATCGACGGCCACCCGCGATCCGGGTCAAGGACGCCGTGACTACGGACGACGACGATGACGAAAGCGGTGACAATGCCGCCCGTCCGGCGACCAACGACGACGACGACGACGACGACGACATGGTCCCGACACCCGATGCGAGTATACCGCCGCCGCCGGTGCCACAAAAGATCTCACCCACCGGGAGTCTCGGGCATCGAAGTAGCACGCCATCGAGTCGCATGGTCATGTACACGCGCGACGAAGCCTGCGAGAGCCTCTACGAGACGGAGGCGCCGGCGGAGCGCGTGGTGCCGCCCCGGCCGACCTTTCACTTTTCGCTCACAGACGACGTGCCCAAGGACGGCGACGTGACGGCCAAGAGCTCGGACGACGACGAGACGCCAATGACAACAACGACGACGAAGGATGACAAGAGCGGCGCAAGTACGCCGGCGGCGTCGCCCGTCGTCCTCGTCGACGACAAGTACCTGAAGAAGCGGCGGAAACAGCTCGAGAAGCTCCGCGCCGACCTCGTCGATGTGTGCCAACGAAGAGAGCGCGATTTGATTGTCGATGCACTGGACCGCGCGACGCGCAAACAAATGGTCGACCAGCTCCAGGACGAGTGCCAGCGGGCGCGGGACGTCCTCGAAGAGCTCAAGCTCCACGTCGAGGCCACGCCCGCGCAGTCGCCGCAGCGCGCGACGCCAACAACGTCGTCGGATGCAAGCCCGGTGCGATTACCGTCGTCGAGTCCGCCATCGCGGTCGCCAGGCAAGCCACCGGTCAGTGGCGTCCCGCCACCGATCAAGACGGCCGGTTCACCGCCCCGCCCGATCGTGTCGTCGCCGGCACGACCACCACGTCAAGCCGCCGAGTCGCCCGACGATATGGCGCGGCTCCGGTATCAAATCGACATGCTCCAGCGCGCGCTGAGCGAGAAGCAGCACGAAATCGACCAGCTCAAGCGGCACGCGGCGCTCGTCCCGCCCGTCTCGTCGCCGCTACCGCTCTCGTCGCTCTCGTCCAAGCTGCATGGCATGGAACGATGTATGCGGCCGTTGGCCCCCGCGGCGTTTGCCTTGCCCGCGATGCGCCACGCAGATCACATGGTCGAGCTCTTTGGCCCGACCGTCGACTCGGAGCGCGTGCGCACAAAACTTATGCGCGCGCTTGCGTCGGTGCTTGAGCCGGTGGTCTCGGTCGCGACGTTTTACCCCTCGGGGTCGTACCCGCTCAAGACGTACCTGCCCGACTCGGACATTGACGTGTGCTTGGTGCTCTCGGACGACACGGCGAGTGCAACGTGGCACGCAGACGTGACGCAAGCTCTTTTGGCGGCGGCGACGTCGGACCAAAAGGTCGAGTGTACCGTCCGCAACGTGACGTTTGTGAATGCCGAAGTCCGCGTCGTCAAGTGCACGATCGACAACGTGTCGATTGACGTGACAGCCAACCGCTTCGGTGCCCTCGGCGCGGTCTCGCTCTTGCACGAAATGGATCTCCGCGTCGGCCAGCACCATCTCTTCAAGCGCAGTCTCATTTTGATCAAGACGTGGTGCATGTACGACAGCTCGCGCTTCATCGCATCGTCGTCGTCGTCATCATCGACGGGCCGCAGCAACATTCTCGGCGCGGTCGCCGGCGCGCTCTCGACGTTTGCCCTCAATACGATGGTGCTCTGCCTCTTCAACCTCTTTGGGAAGCGCATTTGCCACCCGCTGCAGGCGCTGATCGAATTCTTTCATTTCTACGCCGACTTTGACTGGACGTACCACGCGGTGAGCATGCTCGGGCCGGTCCCGATCGCGTCGCTCAACGCCGGGTGGCGCCCGAGCGTCCGGTCGTCCGATGTGGTCATGGACGAGGTCGCCGTCGACGCGTTCAAGGCGCGGATCGAGACGGTGCACGGCGGCATCCGGCCGTCGCTGCCGTTCCAAGTGCGCGCTTGCAACGTCGTCGACCCGCTCAACGAATGCAACAACGTCGCGCGCAGTGTCACCGCCGACAAGCTGGCCGAGATGAAGCACGCGCTGCAGCACGGCCGGCAGACGCTCGTGCAGATCTTTTACGATGCATGGCACCTCGCGTCAAGCGCCAAGAAGGATGACGTGCACGCGGAAGACATCGTTGCGGCGCTGGACCCCCGCACGCTGGATTCGTTCTTTCTCAACGGGTGGACCACGTACGGCAGCGGGTACCGCCCGGACCTGCTCGTGCACCCGCGCCAGGTGTGGCACCCGCCGGCCATGAACCCGTTTGGCGACGGCAACGTGGCCATCGATGTGCTCGCCTCCCAAGTCGCGGATTTGCGTCAGTTACCATAACATTATAAGACACGGGACTAGGGTTTCGTGCGACAGACAATGGTCGACACACAACGTGTCATGGATGGATTTTGGCACTTTAGAGATTGCCGTTGGATCTGGTGTCGATGCCAAGGCGCCTTTCTCACGTGTCGTGATTGCCATCGAGTTTGATGTCATGATACAATTAGTGCTCGGAGATGGGCAGTCGCGAGCGGGGAGGTATAGGGTTTGGCCAGAGCAGTGATATAGACGAACTGGTGGTCCGTCGGTTGCCACAACCCGCCGACACCATCGGCCGATCTTTGGGCCATTTGAAAACGGTCATCGAAGTTCGAAGCTGGTAGGAGCCAATCAAAAGTGTCCCCGCGTAGAAAGTGCAAGCGGTCAGTTCATGGCTGGATCGGCTCCAACGACGTTTGGCTCCGATCCCGGTCCTGACCTCCTTGGTACTCCTGGTAGGACGAGTCGTTAGTCGTCGCAGTGCAAGTGCTACTGTCAGTGTCTTAGACGAGCTGCTTCTTCCGCAGCTGCCAGGTCGCGCCGTCTTGCACGAAATTGCATCGGAATGCAGTGGTCGAGGTCCTTCTTGCGGGCTCAACACAAAGCAGCAGGCAGCGACTTCGTGTCCATAAGGTATAAAGAGACCAGCGCAAGTCCGTGCGAGATCCAGCCATGCAAGCAAGTGGCTGGGTTTTCGAGACGGCGTTGTCATCGTTGCCGAAACTCGCGCTACTCGTACATTGTATCGCCGGGTGCAGCACCGACGGCACATGCGACCGTCGCTTCCTTGAACTCTGTGCGGCAGCTCATGCAATGCGTTCGACGAGGCAGCTGCTGCTGGAAGAGTGTGGTTGGATTGTCGTGGTGGGATTTTCGGCCTTTATCTGATCCAATCCGAGCTTCGAGAGCCCATTTTCGCAGAGTGCAAAGTCGACCGACCGAGCATGGGCCGCGCATGCTCGCTGACCGAGTGGGCTCACTTTGTCAAGGCGAGCCACAAGGCCAACCTCTCGTACTGGTGGGTCTACTGCCGCCACTGCGTCATCGCTGCCATCGCCGCGTCTTCGCCGGGCCGAGACATTGCCAGCATCAACACGCCGGACGCGCTGCAGGCGTTCATTGCAACGCTGCCGATGCCAACCGCCGCATCGACCGAGGCCACGGAGCCGCGCCCGCTCGTGGGCCGGCGGTCGGTCATGAAGGCCCACCTCGCGCAGTGCCTTCATGCGTCGGCGATCCCGCCCAACCCGATCGTCAAGCGGCGCGCGGGCAAGCGAGGCGTGCACTGCGCGATCGCCGAGTGGGCCCACTTTGATCGGCTCGAACAAAACGGGTCCGTCCTCTCGACAGCCTGTAGTCCACGCCGTCACGTTGCGACTAGGTACATTGGCAACAGCAACTACTTCCCGGTGCGCTGCAAGCACTGTGTGGCGGCGCACAGCAGCGGTCGCCGGCCGGCGCCGCCCGAGGTCTTTGCCGGCCGCAAAGAAAGCATGCGCAGCCACTTGGCGCGCTGCTCCTTCTTCACGGGCAAGCTCCCGGCCAAGCGCACGAAGGACGCGTCCAAGCTCGCGCTCAACGAGCGGCAGTTCTTCGTCCAGCTCGAGCGCCAGCCCAACACGTATTACCACTATGCGAAATGCAAGTTTTGCACCGACGCGTACGAAGCCGGGCGCGAAGCCGGGCGCGACGTCCCGCCGCCCAAGGTCATTCTCGGACGGAAACACAACATGCAGACGCACCTCGCCAACTGCGAGCACATTCTCAACCACGAAGCGGTGCTGGACGATATCGTCATGTCCAGTGACGAGAATGACGAGAATGACAATGACGAGGACGAGCATGACCACGACAGCATGGACCGTCCGCTGCCGTTGGCGGGTGCCGAGACGCCGCGGCTGCACGCGCTCGCCACATCCGCGACCGCGTCCCCACTGGCGCGCTTTTTGCATCTCCCGATCGACAAGTCGGCCTCGTCGCCACTCACGTCCCATGCGAGTCTCTCGCGCGTGAGCTCGATCGAGAGCAACGGGCTTCGGCCAGCAACAACAACAACAACAACAACAACAACAACAAACGAGCTCGACACGATTCATGCTGTATTTGCGTTCACGCTCGAGCACAACTTGCCGTTCGCGTGGGTCGAGTCGCCAGCGATGCGAGCGCTCTGCCCCCACCTCCCGACGACGGCCGAGCTCACGGGCCCGCTCCTTCGGCGGCTGCTGCAGTCGTGCGAGGAGGCACTGCGCACGCGGTGGCGCGAGATGCACCCTGGTGGTGGCTGGACACTCGTCGTTCATTTGCTCGACGAAACCGAGTCGAATGTGACCTGCGTCGCGTATGTCGTGCACCCCAACGGCCTCCTCTTCCCGTCCATGCTCGAGGCCTCCTTGACGTTTACATGTCCGCTGCCACTGCTCCCCGCGACCATCCAGCGGCATGTAGCGCAGTGCGCGCGGCAGCAACTCCACGTCGTCGCGGTTGCACTCCCGCCGGCCGCGGCCTACTTTGGCCACCTCCCCGCGCAGCTTCCGCACTCCTCTTTCTATGTTCGCCACGAAGCGTATTTTACCGCGTTCTGCACGGCTTGCTCGCCGACGACGCGGTCGTTCTCGCCCTGAAGCGGCTGAGCCTCGTGCGGCCGCTGCCCCGTAACCTCCCGGATATCCCGTCCTGGCTCCACGAGACTCTCAGCAGCCACTTTGTCGATATGGACACGCGGGTAGTCCTCGAAGCGACATCGCCGCTCTTCTCGCACCTCGGTCGTCTTCCACGCGCGCTCTCGCTGGCGTCGACGCTGCACCTCGTCGGCCAGCTCTACAGCGCGGTGCGTCGACTGCCCCATGCGCTGGATCGACTCCAGCAAGCGCTGCTCGAGCACCTCGAGCTCGCGTGGAGCGCGTGCGAGCAGCCCGCGTACGTCCTTGCCTATGCACTGCACCCGCACTACCGCGATACCGCGCTGCGGAAAGCGCGCAGTGCGTTCAAATGGAGCGCGCTCTGCGACGTCGCGTGCTACTACTACGAGCGCTGGTTCCAAACCCGTCCGACGACGCTCCGCGGCGACGTCATGGCGTTTGCGCACGTGACGCAGCATATTTACGCGCCGAGCGTCGTCTCCGAGTTTCCGAGCGCAAGCGACTACGTGCTGTACCTCGGCGACCACGCGCCGGAGCTTGCGGCGTTGATGGATCGGCTCAATGCGACGACGACGAGCTTTGAGTTTGAACCGACTGAGCGGGCTTATGACAGCGTCCTGGTGCGCCAAAGCGTGCAGTACATTGCCTACTGCCAACCATCGGTACGTCCGATGCCCTCGGCGTCGGAGGACCTCGCGCCAGACGCGCGGCTCGTCCAGTGGCGATCGCGCGCAGCAGCGCAGGGCGGCGCGGGGGCCTTCTCGACCGACGACGCCCAGCGCACCACCAAGATCACACTCCACGAGCTCTTCGAGGGATAAAGAGCGCTGTGTACTGCTACAACCACGATCGAAGTGGCTGCCGTCGGCCTGCACCTCGTAGAAGATAACAGTCTACTGCGGGATCAACTAACTTGGTCGCTGTCCATCGGAATAGCAGCGAGCAATGATTCCCTGTTCGCTGCCGTTGTAGCCTAGTTAGTCGGTAGGTTAGAATGCCATGATCCAGCCAGCGACTAGATGGCGTGCTCGTCGCTATTAATGACAGTACGGATCTCTAGTGCAAACTCAGATCTCAATAAAAGGCAACGTCGCACTTGACACCTCGTCCTCAACCGCTGCGACATGTCGTCATTATCCGGATGATTGGGTCATTGCTCGATTCGCCACGCACGAACCAATGGACCGATCCGCTGAGGTCGCTGCCTTCCAGAAGCTCATCCCTGCCGCCAACATCGAGACGTGCACGCATGAGCAGCTCCAGGCGTCGCTTCAGTACGGTGCGATCATGGTTACGCCGTGGCAATGTGCACCGTAGGGACACGCGCCAGCGCAAGCTGCGTCTGCGCCTGCGTTTTCCGGACGAGTACCCCCGCCGTGAGCTTCTGATTGAGATTCTGAGCACGTCGCTGCCCGATGTGGCCCTGCGCCGCCTCACCAAGTTTGCCGATGCGAAGGCGACAGAGCTTAGTAAAGAGGGCTTGCCCCAGGTGCAGGCGATCGTTGAATTGGTGCAGACGTCGCTGGCCGAGAACAAGCTCCTCTTCGCCTTCGACGAGGTGCGCCAGCTTCGCCTGCTGGCGGACGCCAACGTAAGCGTATCCAAATCCAAGGTCCAGTGGTCACGCAGGCGCTGTAGGGCGGCGAGATGAAGCTCGTCAACGAGCGTGCGGGGCGCATCAAGGTGCTTCTGCGTCAGGGGCCCTACTTCTTCCAGGTACTCAAGAGACATTTCACACAAAGGGTCACGTCTTGTGCCATGACGATAGGTCAACGTCAAGCTCGACGACCACTACCCCGACTCGACGATTCGTGTGGTGTGCGACGAGTCCAACTTGCCACCGAATGTCGTGGACGCCATCGTCAAGCAAGCCAACGACATGGCCCGGCGCATCACGCTTGTACCCAAGGCGCATCACTATCTAGTCTTTTGTTTATAACTTTTTGAAGGGCTACACGGCTGACCAGGCGCTGTACGCCTCCAACCCGCTCAAGAAGCCGCTGAGCCTCCTTGCGCCGCCCGAGCCCGTACCGCGCCAACGACTGCGCACAAGAAAGTTCTTATCGTCTATCTTTTCTAGACAAAGAAGGCTGGGGCGAAGAAGTTTGGCAAGGCCGCCAAAGCCGCCACGTCGCCCATCGTCATCAAGGTCCCCTCCAGTATCAAGTTAATAGCAAGGTGCCATTCTCTTGCTGTCGTAGGAAGCGCCCAAGGAAAAGATTGCACCGCTCTACTACGCCGAAGACGGAGGCATTCTGCATCGGTCGCCGCTCGATGAAGCCGTCAAGAGCATCCTGCCAGTGGTACGTCCCAGCGGTGCCAACAACATTTTGCAGACCGAGGCGATGTAGGTCAAGACGTATCTGTGGGAAACCGTGCTCAAGTCCCTGCCGTCCACAGCGTGTCCGGTCCGCTTTTTCTCTTTGAAATCAAAGTCGATCGCTCACAAATGGAGCGAACGATAGGAGTGCGCACAGCTGGTGCTGCCAACCAATCCGGCGACAGCGCTCGATCCCAACGCGGTGCCGCTCCAGGCGTACTGCGGTCACTGGTTCCACACCGAGTGCCTCGGCAAGAAGCTGCAGTCGCCGCCGTTCGCACACCCGTGCGTGGTACGGAGCCTCGTGCAGGAATGCGACAGGTCATGTTGCTCGTCGCTAGGCGTGCCACGTCATTTTGCACCACCCCAAGTGGCCGTCGGACCTCGCCGAGCTCTCGACGCGCTACGAGCGCGAGCAGCGCCTCGAGCGTGAGATCGCCGAAATTGCCGATATGTTTTAAAGGCCGCTCGTTGAATCAAACTCCACTCCTCCTTCCAGCAGCTCTGCTGAGTTGTTGCCACAACGAAACAGTGCTGAGTTGTCAAACGACGTCGTTGTTGTAGTCATAGTACACCCAACCGTTTTTCAAAAAATAGGCGCAACACACGAGCGTGCATTAGATCACGTGTGGCAAGCTGGCGAGTCATCGCCGGAGCAAGCTTTTCATTTCTCAAGGTTGACACCAATATATTCACAAGGCGTAGAGTGATTAGCAATCGCTCCTACGACTTGTGCACATATCGGACTGAAGTCGCGATGAGTGACTTCTGCCGTGGCATTGATACTACCACGTGGGGTCGTGGTTAGGGTAAATATACTGGGGGCTGATGGGCCCTCGATCGTAGGTAGCGAGGTCTTATCAAGTCAGTGAGAGGCTTCTGACATGCCATTTCAACAGAGGAGGTTCGTCATCATACCTCTCCATGCCATTCGATGATCCTGTCAAGTGCTCCCTCGTTGGGTCGTTGGGTCGTGGCCAAGATGAATCCAATGGCCGTGTCACTGTCTATATCTCGATACCCTGTTACAATCAATAATCCAAATAAACCTATATGGCAAAGTGGCAAAAGATCATTTGCAAGAGGTCCATGGCGGTCGTCAACGTCAACGTCGGGATCTTGGGCCATGTGGGTACGTCGCTCTTCGCCATGTGCCCAAGAGGCTACTGGCTGCTTATGTAGACAGCGGGAAGACGAGCCTCGTCCGCTCTCTGAGCACGCACCTCTCGACGGCCGCGCTCGACAAGAACCCGCAGAGCAAGGCCCGCGGTACCCTCGCCGCGTCGCCGCCCATGCCCTCACGTCCTACGATGCATTAGGCATCACGCTGGACCTCGGCTTCTCGTCGCTGCAGCTACCCTTCACAGCGGCAAGCGGCGAGGCGTACACAGCGCAGCTCACGCTGGTCGACTGCCCGGGCCACGCGTCGCTCATCAAAACGGTCATTGGCGGCGCCCACATCATCGACATGGCGCTTCTCGTCATCGACGCCGTGAAGGGCATTCAGATGCAGACGATCGAGTCGACCGTGCTGGCCGAGATTGCAACGTCGCATGTGATTGTCGTGCTCAACAAGGTCGACCTGCTCACGGACAAGGCGACGCAGCTGCCCGCGATGCTGGCCACGATCCGCACCTTCTTGTCGTCGTCGCCAACGCTGCAAGACTGCCCGATTGTGCCTGTGGCTGCCGGCGATGCCGACGGCGCCCGCGCGCCGCAGGGCATGCCGGACCTCCTCGCGACGATGCAACGCCACCTGCACCTGCCGACGCGTTCGGGTGACGGCCCGCTCTGCTACGCCATCGACCACTGCTTTCCGCTGCGGGGCAAAGGCACCGTGCTCACTGGCACTGGTACGCTAGCTTTCGTACAAGCTTTGATTCACGCTCATGTTAGTCTTATCGGGCACGGTCCGAGTCAACGATACGATCGCGATCCCGATTCTCGGCACCGAAAAGAAGGTCAAGTCGCTCCAGATGTTCCACACGAGCGTCGAGAAGGCCATCCAAGGCGACCGCGTCGGCCTCCGGCTGCACGGCCTCGATGCCGCGACCCTCGAGCGCGGCCTCGCTATCACGCCCAAGTCGCTCAGCTTTGTCCTCAACCTCGTGCTACAAGTGCATCGCGTACGTTTCTTTGGCCTCGACTGCGAGAGCGGTGCCAAGGTGCACGTGACCGTCGGGCACAGCACCGTGCTGGCCAAAGCCACCTTCTTCCACGGGTCGCACGCCAGCTTTGCGGTCGAGAACACCGAGTACCGGTACCTGGCGACGCTACCGGCCAGCGCCACCGACCATCTATTTGTGTTGTTGCAGCTCGAGCGCGAGATTCTCGTGCCACCGTTCAGCCACGTCATTTGCTCGCGCCTCGACACGACCGTGTCGCAGTCGAACGTGTGTCGCATCGCGTTTTACGGCCCCGTCGTCGCGACCCTTGACAACGTACTACTCTGTGGTCCGGATTGTCTTGTGTTTATACGACACTATGTGCATAGTTGTCCAAGCTGCACATCGGCAAAATCAAGGAGCGCCATGGTCTCGTCGAAAAGTGCGGCGAGCACGGCGTTGCGATCGTCAAGGATCTCTTTCGAAAAGAGACCAACCTCGACATCTTCAAGGGTCTAACCGTGCAGAACGAGCGGTCGCGCGCCCTCGGCGCCATCGACGGCGCGTTTGGCAAGACGGGCAAGTGCCGGGTTCAGTTTACGGACGGAAGCACGCAGCCAGGCGACCGACTCGTGCTGCGCTTTACAAAGATTCTCTTTCAAGAGAAATCGCTGGCGCATCGGCTGCGGCAAGCCCCGGGGCTGTACGAACTGCCCGCTGCGACACCGTCGCCGGCACCGCTCCAGGCGGTGACGCTGCCGACGGTCGAGGTGCAGAAGCGGTCGTGGGTCGGGCTCGTCGAGCGGCTCAAGGGCGAGACATCGCCCGAGGGTCGCAACCCGATGGTGATTGCAACCGGACTCTTTGCCACGTGTGATGAAGCGCTAGCGTGCATGGCCATGGACGCGGTCACGGCTGCTGGGGACCGCGGCGTCGTCGACTCGCTTTTCGGCAAAGCGGGCAAAGTCCGCGTTACATTCGCTTGCGGGACGTCGGCCAAGGTCGGCGACGCTATCACTGTGTTTGAAAAGTGAAACATGAGACATTTTTGGGTGGACCCTTTACAACCCCATTCCACTTGGATCCTAGTCGAGTATACAATGATAGAAACGATAGCGGCGATGCCATGTTGTGTGCCGAGACAGTGAGGTGTCGGCTCCGTTTGAGTTTGTACTTCGAGAGTTTCGGTCTTGAGGCTGCCATTGCACCCACATTGAGTAGAGCGATCCGTGGTGGTGCCACGTCATAGGCTGTTATCCGGAATGCACAGATATCTGCCAATCACGGCGGTTGATGCGTTGAATCCTGGACGCTTGTCCTGCCTTCAAGACCACTGGGTCCGCCATCTCTCTTACTACGTCGCAAGCGCAGGCACCTCTCGCCAACGGTCCATCTCGCTAGTCAATTTAGCAACGACCACAGAGGGCAGCGCAAGCTCGAGCGTCTTCTTTCTTTGGCTATGAGCACGGATACCACGACGCTGCTGCCATGATCAGGATCAAAGCCGCGGCGCCATCCATCTTCGCCCGGTGGGACCTCAAGATAAATGAAGACAAGACAGGAGAAACGCAGGTATTCAGGTCGACGCAGGTAGACACGCCGACGCACGCGGCCTCTTTGGCACACAACCAAGAAGCTCGGCAGCGTCCTCGACGACGCGGCCGATCTGCGCGCTCGGAAGCGACTGGCGACAACGGCGTTCAACAACATGTGGAAGATCTGGATGCGTCGAGGCCTTATCTCGGAAGGCAACCGAGTGCGGCTGTACAAGTGCTACGTGCTCCCGGTCCTTTGTACAACTGTGGCACATGGGCCCTGACGCCAACGAGTCTGGCGGGCCTTGACAGCTTCCATCGCCGGCAGCTGCGCCGCCTTCTAGGTATCTTTCACCCGAGCAAGCTCGGCGACGTCGCGCTCTACGACCGCTGCGACAGCATCCCACTGAGCGAGATCGTTGCCCGCCAGCGCTGGCGCCTGCTGGGCCACGTGCTGCGCATGAGTGTAGACGTCCCTGCCAACATTGCCGCCGCCCGCTCCCGAGGCGCCCCGTTTTTTAGGCCGTCACCGAGACTCATGTTGCCGTACG